AAATTAATTATCGGTGATGAGTCTATTGAGTATTTCATTCGAAATACTCATTTCGTTATTTTAACGATATTTGTAGATTTTGGATACGGCCGGGTTTGATGGGCAGTGTGACAATGATTTAATGGATTCAGTTATTTACATTTGAAAAATTACGTATTTGAACGTTATTAGCGTACTTTGTTATTTCAGTTATTTCAAAAACTCGAGATTTAAAGTTTAATCAAATTTCTTAAATTAATCAAATGGTTTTGTTGCCGACGAGGTTTTTACTGTTATAAATATGATGTTTAAAATTTAGTTATTTTCGGCAAATCTTTTTAGTTAATTCGGTTACAAAAGAATATGACGTGGCAATCCGGGTTCATGGAACTCGAGGCATTACACATTATCTATGGATCAGATTGTGGTGAATCCTTAGCTCCACAGGTTAAACCAAAGTATACCTATCAAACAATAATAATGTATGCAACGGGACCAAAAATGTACAATAATTTCATCAATGAAGATCGGGATGCTCTTGAAGAACATTCCCCAAATCACCATGCAAAAATATCTTTAGACTATTGGAAGAGCAAACAGACCTATCTGTCCAGGCAATAGCAAGCACACCAAACTTTTGATAGTGGCACGACTCTTGAATTTGAAATCTGAATCTAATATGCTTATAACGTGTTATGATCGCATGTTGTCTGTAATTCATAATTTTGGGAAGTCTGCTAGAATGTAACCAGTTAGAAGTTACGTTATTAAAACAAAGAAAATGTTACCTAGTCTTGGCCTAGGTGTCGAGAAATTTGTGCGTGCGTCAATGATAGCATGTTGTACTACAGAGAAACTAAGTACATGACTTAGTGCCTTACGTGTTTTAACCCACGTACAAGGAAAAGATGTCCTAGCCTGGGCATAGGGTGTCATACATGGTGCTTCCTTGCCTCACTATTTATTGAAATGTCATAGGTTGATGCTAGCTTCTTTTGGTTTATCTTATTTTATATGATATAGCTTTATTCACATGGTTTCTTCTTTAGAAATCTTAAATGCGAGGCTTCTGTTTAGACCGTCTTGAACTTGAAAGTATCTCTATATGAGTTCAAAGTGAAGGTATGTATGTGCATAGGTTTTAAGAGTCTCATGGAAAATCCAATTATTGAGCTTATTTCTAGGTGACCATAGTCTCAAATTACGTCATAACTCAAAAATAAAAATAAAAATAAATAAATAAAATAACACTGGTTTGTAGTAAGGATCCTCGCAGCATACAGATTTACTTTATGTTGCTCAGCTATTTAGTGTGTTATCTGCCTCGATACTAAATCACATAATAAATTTGGACTTCATTTCTGCTCTTCATTATCACATGTTCCCTAAACTTACGATGTGCTAATTTAATTTGTCATGTACTTGGAGCATTCTGGTAAATGTTCTTAATAGAACGCAAAGATAGATGTTGCAGTAATTGGAAATTACCTAGTTTATATTGTGGAGGGCTACCCTTACAGACTATTCGTTTCTTATCCTTTACTTGAACCCAATGAAATAAAGAGTCCTGCATACTTTGATTTTGGCATATTCCTTGATGCTCTTCAATCTCATTTGGTCGATCACCAAGACTTTTTAAAGAAGTTTTTCTATTGTTTTGGTGGGGACTGCGGGATTTAAGGTTTGTAATTCTCTTTATGTTTCTTTATTCTAAAGTTTTATGCATATTATATCTATTCTTATGTTGCACATTTCAGCTCTCTGGGCCAAAACCTCAAAATGAGCACTTCTATTCTGGAGATTCTTTGTGCCAATTCCATCTCCATTATGGGTCAGTTTTATTTTCGTTGTGTAATGGTCACATGAAGGAGATTACATCATTCCCATTGAAACACCTTCTATTTTGTAACGACATATTTAATACACAACACTCGACGGTACTAGACGGTACAATGGACAAAGTTTTAGCATCTTTTCCTGTCTTAACATTGTTCAGTCTTTTTTGCACATTTCCAATAAAGAATTTCAGGAAAATTTGCTTATATTTTTTAATTTGTGCTCGTTTCTCATTGCTGTTTCAACATATATCTAAGATTGCTTCTTAGTGCCTAACACGTTTTTCCTACAGAAGTTGTCGAGTTTTGGTAGGAAATGGCTAAGTTTGCTTTTGTTTTATGTTAACAGAAATATTTGCTGTCTATCACTTTAAGGGTAGCAGAGATGCGGTAGCAGAGATGCAAGTGAATAGGTGAGATGCAGAGCAATGGGTGTCCCTCCTTATGCTTCCTGATAATTTGTTGAGACGGATTAGACAATATGAGCAATACAAATGGCAAGAAACTAGGGGCAATGAGATAGAATCTATGATTCATAACTTGCCCAAGGACTTAAGTAGGGATATCAAGCGCCATCTCTGCTTGACATTACTGACAAGAGTAAGTCAATTCAATCACTGCTCTGGAGTACTCTTTATTCAAATTTGGTAAATAGTACTCCGTGGTATTGTGCAGGATAACATGCATGGTTAGCTTGTTTTTCTTCTCTAGACATATCGATTATTTATTAAAGGTACCAATGTTATTGAAAATGGACGAACAACTGTTGGATGCAATGTGTTATCGTTTGAAGCCAGATCTCTACACAGAGAAGAGCTTCATAGTTTGCGATGGAGATCCAGCTGACGAGATGCTCTTTATTATGCGTGGACGTGGTAATACATTGACCATGAGGACTAATGGTTGTAGGACTAGTTTCTTCGGAGGAGAAGACAACAAGCATATTCAGCGCACTTTTAAGCAAGTTCTAAAATCAACTTTATTGTAATGTCTTCTATTTTTTATTTGTTTTTGGTAAAATGACTACAATTTTTTATTCTCTGATCCATCTCCTGAAAGATTGGTAGGGACCAGGCTATAATCCGGAACCCAAGAGCAATAATGAATGAAACGAAAAATAGAAATGTAAAAACAGACAAAAGAGTTATGTCCTGTAAGAGAATTACAAGGTTACATTACACCCATCCAAAAGACTGCCCCTCGGATTCCTATTATGATGGAGAAAATTATAGCATCTTTATATAACTATATGAATTCCCATTATACCTACTATGTTGATCTGCTGTTGAGGGGATATGTGAACATTATAATAAGGCTCCTTAAACCTGGGCTTCTTGAATGTAGAATTTCAGTGGAAGTTATGAAGAAAATAAGCATGACTGTTGTTTACATAATTGCTTCAGGTTTGACTCCCAGCAGTGGAGGACATGGGCAGCCTGCTTAATCCAAGTATCACGGCGTCAACATTGCAGGAAGAAGATTGAGAAACCTTTGCAAGAGGCAGAAGATAGAATGCACGAGGCCTTGGCAAAAGAGGGTGGAAGCTAACCTAGCCTCGTTGCCATCATTTATGCGTCAAAATTTGGTGCCAATATACTTTGGTCTCTTGCGCAACAATCATCTACATATGTTAAATTATTATCCGACTACCTAGCACAAAATTACCTCCTCAGCTGCTTCAGAAGCTAGCCGAGCCTGATTTTACTGCAAAGGACTATTCATATGGAGTGTACACATATAGATGACAGTGCATTACACAATGGTATCCTATTAGAAAACCGGATGTGTCAAACAATAATGATTTGCCTCATTTTTTTCTCCTATCTCAGAGTTTTCTTTTGGTATATACATATATAGTATTTTGATACACTATTGCCTGTTGATTTACCTAGATTTGGCTCAGTTTCACATGAAATTTACATGTATGTAGATAACAACCTGCAGCTATTCATTTAACCGCTTCCCTAATTTTTCCATTGCTGTGGTATCCATACAATTTGTACTGTGAAATGCTTTCTTGAGGACTGTATTTTCTTGTGCAATAGCATCAGTTGTTGCGATTTTTGTAGAAGTAAAAAGTGAGATAAAAAAATGATCCCCGTAAGAAGCCCACTGCTAGTAGCAAAAGAAATCTTCCATTCAAAATTCAATCGGTATTAGGGTAATGTTTTCATGAAACTATTATATGTCATTTTGAGAAACAAAATGTCTTGACGAATAAAGCTTCCAATTTCTTATCAACTCGTAAACTGAAGAAGATTTGAACTCTTTCAAATATTATAAGAACTTGAAATTCTACTGCATTTGAATCATCTCTATTAGTTACATTGCAATCCAAAGTTATTCCAGAACAAAACCCATTAAAAACTTGGACGACAGTAATNAAAACCCATTAAAAACTTGGACGACAGTAATAACGAGTAATATTTCATAAACAAAGACTTGATAACTCTGAAACAAAATTTGAATACACGACTATTATGCCCAAGACAGTCAAATTCCAAATACAAATTTAAGCATATCTAATTCAAAATTTTCCTACGTTAGTCAGTACTAGATCATGCCCAAGACAGTAAAATTTCAGACAGAGAGAGCATGTTTGAGTCTCGTGCATATTGTCTTCTACACCTCGAAGACGCTACTCGGGCCACAGCCTTGGTTAACTTCTACTAATTGTCGCTCCATTTGTGTCAAGAATTCCATCACTTTTTCTCTGTTATGAGAAAGAAAAATCCGATTCTGATCAGGCTTAGTATCGGAACTTGTGAGCCTTTTTTGGTACAAGAAAACTGGCACCGTCCCTTCATTCAATCCTATTTCTCGCAAGATTTCGGGAAGAAGTGGTTCTGGACGAGGCTCCGGCTCATTCTGTACTTGGTTACGAATACTCGTAATTTTTTCGTTGCCCTTCCGCTTTCTATTTTTATGAAGAGTTACGGCAGATTGGGGCATTGTTTGGCCTGAATAAGGAACAATAGCCAGAATTGGTTCAGGGTTTATAGCATGAAAGGTTCTTTTAAAATATAGGTTTGAGTAAAGCTTTTGGTGGTGGGTTTGAGGCTGCACTGATGGTAGTGGTGGTGGATCATGAAGAAGAAGATCATCAAAGAGGCTAAGTGAAACTACCTTCTTCTTCTTCTTCATTGGAAACACATTAGGAATAGGAAGAGGAAGATCAAGATCTTCATCATCGAACAAATTAAACGAAACACTCTTCTTCTTCTTCATCGTAAACATCACTGAATTTTTATATCTATCTAAGAATCTCTCTCTCTCTTTCACTATCTTGTGTGCAGTAAATTTTTTTCTGTGTAGAACTGATTGGGTTAAGTTCACTCTTATATAAATGTGTATGGTAATCAAATTCCAATTTGGAAGAGGAACTCACAAAACCCCTGAAACTCGTTATGGAAATATTTGTTGATCAAAATAAGGAAATATTTTTCATGTTACCATATATTTTCTCTCTCTAACGTTAAAATTGGAAGCAATTTTGAAATTACCTCATATGCCACCAAGTCTCGCCCAATTTTAATATCCAGTGAATTTGTAAAATTAAAAACTTTCATTGGACAGAACTTATTGATAAACTAGCTAGTAATCCTAGAAATAAGTTTTTAATTGATTTTGATATAATTTAATGAAATGTATGATTAAAAAGTTGAGGAAAAATTATGAATCTTATGAAATTTGTAATCGGAAAAGAGTTCGGAAAAAAATAAATTTAAACAAATAAGAGCCAAACAGAGGCTAAGTATTAAAGGGGCATAACATTGTTTGACCTTGTGAGAATTGCACCATCTACAATAATGGAGAAACATGTTGTTAATTTTATTTCACTTTTGTCAATAATAATCTTTTGATGGGATCACCATGATAAAGTATATTTAGTTGGTGTTTGGTCGTGATTAAAATTAGATTTTTAGTAGATTGTGATAGAAAATTTTGAAATGTGTGGTTAAAAAACTGTGGGACCCATGAAAGATATGATTAATATTGATTATTCGATCTTGACTTAGAATTAAATCTGATTTTAATCCTAAACAAACAAGGCCTTAATACAAAAAACATAATGATTGCAAAAATATGAAATATTGGTAATATAGATATGCCGATTGATCTAATAATCAAGACATACAATTATTTACCCTCAACTCTTCGGTCGAAATATATATATAGCCAACAACAGGGGCAGACTCAGGAAGGAAGTTCAGTGAAGGAGAAACCAAAAAACCTTGAAAAAAAATCTAAAAACCCAAAAAAGCCTGGACAAAAAAAAAACTAAAAAAAATCTAAAGAAAAATCAGGAAATTTGAAATTTGAGTGGAGGCGGCGGCCCCATTGGACCTCATGTAGGTTCACCCCTAGCCAACAACATATAATAACCTTCTTTTCATAATACTGTCGAGTGCTATCTAGCTATCCTACCAAATATGCCATAATGGATACAAGAAAATCCCGTCTTCACTTCCTTTGTCTACTCAAACTCCTTTACTCCAACGAGCTTTCAAAGAGTGCCAACCGCGCACACCCCCATACTGAAATATTTTACGAAAGAATATTTCTGTTCAAATGATTCCAGGCCTTCAATATAAGTAATCATCTTTTGTTAAATTTAAAAGTTCGTTCTGCTATCTGGGCTCAGCTCCTGGTTGTCCCTTTTGTCAACGTCCAAGTTCTCCTGTTGGGATTCCATATCCGTGCTACCTGTTCAAGTTCTTCTATGCCTTCGATCCTAGAGAATTCGAGTACAAAAACACCTAAAATTCATTCATTTGTGTTGGAATTTGATGTCATTTGTGACATTAGTTTCTAACACTTTGGGCTATGATGAAAAGGATAAGGGCTCAGCCCATTGCTGAATAAGTTTCAGTTGTTGCTCTGGACCGTGGGATGAGGATCAGATCTATGGTTGTTGGTTTGTCCATATATACCAGCTTGACCGTCCATTTGAGGGATGATTCTCATTGTTCTCTTTTGCTGTGTGAGAGAAAGGCTTCTCTGTGAATCTGCCTTGTGATTCTGCTCGTTCTCTTCTCTTCTGTTCTGATCTTCGTGACTGAATCAGAAACTCTGTTTTAATAGAGTGTTCTTCGTGATATTATCTTTGAGATTTAGGGAGAGTTTTCGATTTGTAGATTGATGTGTTCGATCGAGTCCATTGTAGTAGCTGCTTGGGGTTATTGTCTTAGGGTTTGTGGTTTTTGTGGCCGATTCTATATTGTACAGACGGGTACAATGTCCTATTCCTGAGCCTATTGCAAATAGATCATACTTTGTGTATATTGTTTAGTATTCTTGGTGAATATTAACTGCTTCCGCTTGATTCTTGAGGCTCATTTCCCTACAATTTGTTTGTGGCTATTATCAGAAAGTTTTGGTGCGGAATATTTCTAGTGGAGCGAAATGTGGTGTAAAATATGACAAGTAGCATATATAGATAGCAACTTAAGAAATTTTTGAGTCTATTAGTATATATTTAAAAAAGTTTAGGACCAAAGTGTAAATTAGCAAAATAATCCTGTTAGTTGAAAAACATTGTTGGACTGTAATTGATAATATCAAGAGATTATATCTTGCGAAAAGTTGAGCATCGGTAATTTAGCGAATTTTAGAAAGTTTGAGGACTAAAGTGAAAATTATGGAAAAGTTTAAGAATCATAATTTTAAGCCTTTAGAATATTGCAGTGATATCTTGTACTAGTAATAGTAGGTTTATGAGTTTAAACCCGAGGTTAGATCCTAAACGCAAAAATTGCAAAGTTTTAGGGACTAGATTGCAAATGGTGAGAAATATATTTTACATATCTTTATCCTGGTTCTTATTATTATTATTTTATTTTTATTTTTATTTTTTACATTTTAGCGAATTAATAAATAAAATAGTCATGTCTAATATAGAAATAATTCCGTGAAAAACAGATTAAAATTGCAATGCGGGAATTTTTGGGACAACAGACTGGTAGGTTTATGATGGTGGAACTCATGATAGTAGGGCTAGTGGGGCGTGGAAGGAGTCTAGGCAGGGTGTAAGGCTTGGAGAAGAAAATGATTTTTCCTCTTTTCATGTTTTAATTATTTTTTATTAAAATTAAATGATAAGGATGAAGTGGATTAACATTTTTACTCTTATAAATCAGAATTAAGCGACATGTACAATCATTGTTTATACCTTCCTCCGTGTCACAAATCTGGTCATTGATTAAAAAAAGTATTGTTAAATCCAATGCATCAAAATTTGCAACTTGCATGAGTGTAAACCAAGATGTCAACATTGGTGTACATATAGCATGTTTCTATAAATCATGTCCATATCATTTGCGGAGGATGCACCTACTTCACGAAACAAATGGATGAAAGGTGATTGAAAAGACCTTTCGCATAAGAATAGATTGGTCTAAGGAAACAAATGTCAAAAAATTTTGTGACAATTATTGCAAAGGTAGTAACGTGATGGACGTTGTGTACCAATTACCCCATTGTGAAATAAGGGATTTGGTACTATCTGTGCGCTAAGAACTCTGGTGACTGCATTACATATTCCATCTCACTCTCGGTCCTAAACCAAGAGAGAGCTTGGGAGCAAGAAATTGCCCTACGCATGGGCACCACCAACTAGGACTTCGTTAACCACTAACCACTCACTCGTTAGCTGCTCAATCTATCTGTAAGCAAAGCGCCTTCTCAGCAAACTAGGGGAGACACAATAAAAATGTCTTTAGTAACATTGACATGGTGCTTGTAACCTTATTTGCCATTGTTTACTTTCCATCATTGAACAATAGATCACAGAATAATGAGCTACATAATTGACATGAAAGAATTAACAGACAAGGACGCAAGAGCTATCCAGAATGTTTGGACATAAAGCAACCGTACATGCTTCATAAGTCAGCCATCAAATCCCAGGGGGCTTAACTTTGGAAAGATGGTGGAAACTACCAACCTGGGAGTATGGTAGAGACAGATGAGATTTCCGATGAACAGTGAAAGAAATGCATAGAGATCGGAAAGCACGCAGTCAAGGTGTTGATACCATGTCCGTGACTGGATGATATAAAGAGTTGGGGAAATGAGAATGCAGAGAAGTAATAAAATTCATATATAGCTGAGTGGGGATGATATTTTAAAATGTTTAGGTACATTCTTGCACTTTTACTCGACCAACATCATGTATCAGGATGTCGATGGAAGGGGATGGGAACAGGCTATCAGAACATTCATCAAATGCTGAAAAGAGACTTTCCTGCAAGTTATGTTATAGGCATCAGAATCAAGCTTCACCAACAGTGTTCATAGCTTTCAGGATCCAGCCAGCACTACAAATTTTGGTTACAATAAAATGTTCCCAAAGGATTCCACAACATCTAAAGTAAATCACAATTCTGGTTACCAAGTTCACATGAAAACTACATTACAGAAGACAGCATATGGGCGAACCATTGATATTGCAATGCCCTGCAGCTCTAATAGTCCCATCACTGTCTCACAGAGTGCCTAGACAACTCAGCCTACAAGACAATGGAAGATAAAAGATAGAATTGCCTAGAATACTAGCTTGGCTAGCTTTATTTGAGAATCGATAATGAATTGAATTGCCATCAATTGATCTCTCCATTGTTTACAATGACGAAATTACATCCTTACATTCATGTAATAAAAAGTTCCAACCCTGAGCATTCATGGAAAAACAACCAAGAACAGAGCAGATTTGAAATGTTCGTCATAAAAACTACAGTTATACTAAATTCTAAAATTAGCATAATAGTTTTCATGATTAAACAATTATACAGAAAGCCTTTTGAATGTCAAAAGTCCCTGATAAATAGAGTGCTGTAAAAGAAAGTTCTAAGCTGAAGCCTTGTTTGAAATTTAGCCCATATTTTCTACCTTTCGCCCCACCCATTCAAAGAAATCAATACCTGAAATTTAGCCCATATTTTCTACCTTTCGCCCCACTCATTCAAAGAAATCAATACCCAAAAACTAGACAAAAGTTCCATAGACTGCGTCATATGTGACTGCTGATTTGAGTCAGAATTTGAACTTTTAACCCGCAAATACAAAGTTGTAAGCATCAATACGAAATTGTTAATAAAATTAAACAAGGACCTCTATTCAAGCTTGATTGTATGTCACTATGTATCTAATGCATAGTGTGATTAGGACATAAATTTCTGATATGTATAAGTATGTCAACTTACTACCTCCTTGTTAATGCTGACAATTGAAAGTCAGGTAAGCTTCAAATGGTGAAACTACTACAGCAATCCAGCTAAAAGTAAAGGATAGATGAACTTACATTTTCTGTATGCAAGATATGATCAACTTTCGGTAGATACACATTACTACTTTTACATACATTAGATTCTCAGTCCCCGGTCCCCAATAACACCTTTGCTCGAGAAGAGTTGTAATCTGACCAATGAGTTATGAGCTATCATTGAAGATTTTCTACAGATAGCTCAATTGGAAGAAAACTTACAGAAGGAGCAAAAAAAAAAGGACATTTATGTAGCAAACAAAAATTTAAATCAAGAACCAATTTAAGTACATGAATCTAGAAAGTCTACTGGGAGAAAATATAAAAAATTCACTTAGAGAAACAACTAATCAATAAATTAGCTATTCAGCTTTAGGGGATGTTGGTTGCACAAAACAAACTCTAATGCGTCCGCCCTTCATGTCATCGTCAAAATTCATCCAAGTAACTCGTGCTTCAGGCTTGTAAGATTTAAAAATGAATATACAACAGAGAACTTGTTTGATGGTAATTACATACTATTTGTAAGTAGGTTTATTGTTGAAGAAAGAACTTCAATTATCATGAATATTTGAAAGCTAAAAAAAATTATTAGCATGGTAGCCACCAATTCAGCCGCAACCATTACATGTGACACATATCTTATATGTAATTTTAACAACAAAAATTGTTTTCAGTAAATAAAGAAAACTGGCAACAACGTTCAGAGAGGAAATATTAAGGGCAAAATTAGGGCAATGAATGATAGAAAACAATAAAGGGATTATAGATTTATATGCTTTAACCAAATCTTTTTTCACATATAAACCCTAAATAAAACTCCATGTTGAAACTAGAGAAAATAACAAAATAACGGAAGTATAAACATACATTGATCCATAGATTTTTCATTCTTTGCCTGGATGGGTTAGGATTTTCGGTCTTCACTTCAATTTTACTATCTATTGATAGGGATGTAAAGAATCTCGAGAATACACCAATAATTAGGGACCATGACCCCATAAAACAAAAGATAATGAATGGTCATTATCTATAATTTGTTTCAAATTAGCCCATTCATCAATCTAAAACAAACATTCGGTCTTTACACTTTAATTCCACGAAAACTAATACCCATTAGTCAAAAATCATCTTTAGTGGATCACTTTAATTGACAAATTTTCTTTAAATAATAACAACACGCATTTTAAAATATTACGTGTGGCCCCAAATTGGTTAGAATTTTTCAACAATGAACAAATAATATGGCGGATCACTAAGCCGTAGAGATTATAAGTTGGGTATTACTTTACACTTTTGATCCAATAATTGCTTGTCTCGCATATTCGAACAAGCTCGTATCTTCCACTTTTTTTTTTTTTTTTCATCTCTTCTATATCATTCCCAATGTTTCAGATTTTCTTGGTCACTTTATTTCTAAACTTAGTAAGTCTTTGTACTTGGATTTTTTCTACCAGAAAACATTAAGAACAGAGGACGTATATTCTGAATATACCAATTGTTCGCCAAATTCTGTTATCACTGTATAAAATAGGAAAGAAAATGGCAGACACAACAAATTGTGCACATAAAAATAATACTGCACAATGTTGTAAGGATTGTTGGAAAATAAAATGCTCGGATATAAGCAGGGCCATGTAATCAAATTCAGAAAGAATAACAATTATATGACAAAACATTATACATTTAAGACCATTTATTACCTTTATGAGATGAATAATGCTATGTGTACACCTCGTGGTGTACACACGGCCTTACACTCCCCTCACGTGGAGGGGAGTCCACGCATAATTATTGTGCGTGGACCCCTCTCCATGTGAGGGGGGTGTAAGGTCGTGTGTACGCCATTGTGTACCCATAGCATGGTCCTCATTAGATTGCACACATAATAATGTCGATGTTGAATGAGGTGTACACATGGCCTTACACCCCCCCTCACGTGGAGGGGGGTCCACGCATAATTATTGTGCGTGGACCCCCCTCCATGTGAGGGGGGTGTAAGGTCGTGTGTACGCCATTGTGTACCCATAGCATGGTCCTCATTAGATTGCACACATAATAATGTCGATGCTGAACCACAAATCTCTAGAGATGAGTATGTAGACATCATTTGTAAGGGTGCCCTAGAAGAAAGTGTTATTGACATTAGTTTACAACAACTTTAATCTCCTGTCATCAGTGGACACAGGATAAAAACTTCTCAATACTGATGTGGTAAGAGAATCAATTTCACTGTTTACAAAAGCTTCGTCACGAGATAAGGTAAGGCTACAATTTCAATAAAACATAACAAGATTATATACATTATAACAAGATTAAAACATCCCGTCGTTCCGAAAAATTACAATTTCATGCCCATGTTTGATCCCCATTTTTAGAACTCATTTTTTTTCTCAAACTATTTTTCACCACACATTTAAATAATTTTTATCAAAATATATTAAAAATATGATTTTAATACAAACTGAAGAGGAGCCAATTGCAATCAAGTGTAAACTAGAATCTTAAAAAATTATATATGTTGCAATCGGATTAACAAGTTACAATTATTACAATATATTAAGGTCCTGTTTTGTGGAGTTTAAAATTAGATTTTTAATATATTTTAATAAAAGTTGTTGAAAAGTTATGGATTCTATAAAATGTGCGATTAAAATTAGTTGTTGACTTTGATTTAGAGTAAAATTTGAAATGACTATTTGAGTGATGGAGACGTTGGCTATTTCTGACGGAGACTCCAGACCTGACGAGAATTGAATTCTTAATTCAATTTATGTTTTTCATGTATCACAATTGAGATTTTTTTTTTCAACATATGAAACAATTTCGAAAGGTGTAGTGATCATGAGAAATAGCACACTAGCTGGTATTTGTAGAATTAGACTTAAACTGTTATATGAGACTTTTAGAACACTTGATCACGTTCGACATGTTCCAGATTTATTTGAAGAAAAATTCCATCTCGTTAACTACTCTTGATTCAAAATGGTACGAATTCACTAGTGAAAGTGGAGTTTTGAAGGTTTTCGAAGGTGTCTGGGTTATATTAGAGGGGCGGAAAAGATCCCAGTTATACTTCTTGCAAGGTTGTGTAGAATTCGTGAAGAATAATCAGCAAAAGTTTAGTACCATGGTGGATATTTAGTTTGGTATAGTACCATTGGGATTTGGTTTGTGCTCCATGTTGAAGAATACAACTTAGTCGAGTTTAGAAGATATTGGTGATGTTGCTTTGACACCATCACCTACGATACCATCGAATTCAATTTCTAGGGAATGACCCATTGGAGAAAGGTAGGGGGAAACTGATTTTGTTGCGCATGCTTAAAGTGTATTAGAAGGTGTTCAGTCCAGCAATGGCCTTTCTACAAAAGCATTTAGTGTTTATTCTATTTCAGGATATGTTTCGACCTTATTTAGTAATTTTTAAATCTTTTGTGATTTTTGATTGAACCCAAAGTAATTTTGTGGAGCAGTGCCTTGATTCATTTATCCTAACTGGATATTTTGTAAGAGGTGGAAAATTTTTGGTTCGTTGGAGAAGTTCGTTTAATTCTTGTTGAAGAGTTCAGCTCATTCCTTGTAGTTGAGTTTTCTCCAAGTCGAGAAATTTTGAAACTTCATTTGTTGCAGTGAAATTTGTGTCGAGGTAAAGATTGTTGAGTTTGTGATCCAAATTCATCTTGGGATTGTGTGGTTTGATGTAATTGGCCTTGAAGACGTTTAAATTGGGTTCATTGAGGAAAAAGAGATTGACGGTGCTAGCTGGACGCTCGAGTGACGAAACGAAATTTTCAACAAAAGACTCGCCACCTGCCTACCACTCGACTGGCACTCGAGCACCGCTGTTGTCTGGATTTTTCTTGTTCCGTTCATTTCAAGCATTTTTTGACATAGTTTCCATCTTTAGAGTTATTATTATGGTTTGACATGTACTCTTATAAATAATACACATTTCTTTACAAGTTTAGTCAAGTCATTACTGAAAGTTAGAATTATTGTAAGGAACATAATTGTTGTATCTCTCTCCATTATAGTTGAATAAAATCTCCAATTCCCCTGCCAAATTAAATTCTTGTTTTTGTGTTCCTTTTGTTGTAATCAATACTTCATATCGTGTCATATACCTCGTCTCATCCCCAATAAGTGATGTAAGAAAATACATAATCCTTGTTCAGTTTCTGACACTATCAAAGGCACCAACAAAATGTCAAACATGCATGGAGAATGGAGATTGTGTGTTGATGAGACCATCAGGCTTGAACGATGTTAAAGTATGGATGCGATGGTACTACTACCCCGAGGAGTCCATTGGGAGTGGCAGCCAGTTCCATAGTGCCTCTTCTTGTCAGACCATTATGATATGCAAAGTTCTCACACCATTTATGGCAAGTTTTATCGTCACACTGTTAAGAAGTGCTCCAAGCTCGAGAACGTGGGGTCTGAGGATAATTACTTTTGGGGATTTGTGTACAAGGCTACTACTGGAGGGTTCACTCCCTACTGGTTTGCTGTGTATTACAAGTGTGAAATGCCTTATAAATCAAATAATCTCATGTTGCAATGTGAAGGGTTCAAGGGCTAGTTTCATCCTTCTTGCATGGATATGAACACTGAAGAACTGGAGAAGTTAGAGCATTTCTTGTATTCTGAGTGAGTGTTCATCTGGAGATGATGCCAAAAGTTCTTTCAACTCATTCCTTGTATCACCAACTGTTGGGAGGAGATACAATGATTAGCTTACAAATCAACAAAAATATATGTGCAAAACCATAAACTAAGCAAACTGAAATTATGAACAACAGGAACAGAAATCAGAAACTCAAGCAATAACTGAACATGAAGAACAATAGTCTGTAAACCGAATACTAAAGAAGCCAAAATACGAACAGACTAAACTGCAAAAAGGAACTTATCTTTATTCATCAAGCCCACAGGCCGAAAATCACAATCTATGCCTCAATATCGAATAACCACATTTATAAACTTGAATCAAACCCCAATAGTAAAAATACAAAAGAGATTGCACTCACACAAGCCCAATATATTACATATTCAAGTTTTCTCTTCAACCATACACTATAGTTCACACAAGAACAGATTCTACTCAAGCAAATCACTAAATATTGAACACTATTGAGAGAAAATAAGAAATCAAATGAGAATATTTGATTTCTACCGTGAAGAAGAGAGAGCTCGAGAGAAACGGTACAGAGAGTGTGTAAGAGTAGAAGTATCTCGAAGCCAAGTGAAGTCTCAAACCCTAGAAGCCCGTTTTTATATAAGTCACTCAATAGTCACCAATCCAACGGTGTTGGAGGCGACACGTGGTGACATCTAGGGCGTCCAAAAAAACAGGTGAGTAAAAACACGGTTTCAAGCTTTCCCAAAGAACACGTTTTTGCACCAAACAAAACAGTAGCTGGGCTTTCATTTATAATCCACCTGGGCCAACTCAACAGGCCCAATGGGCACTTGCATCATTGTGCCATTTCCTTTCACCAACTATTGAGGCTAAGTTGGAGTTAAAGTGTCAAGAGATTACAGATAGATCTTAATGCATTATATAGGTAGATACAGGATTGGCCACAAGATTTTTCTATATATTTCCCATAGATTTATCCAGGACCACATTTTATTATTGCACAACCATCACACGATTGCTATGTACAATTAAGGTATGATCTCTATGTTGTACGTGACACAACTTAGCCTAAATTCATATATCCAAACCTCGTACAATTATTTTCAAGTTATCATAAATCGTATTTATATAGGTTTTACAACATATACATTATCTTAATAACCATTCACTAAAGGGTAGATATATCGCCACAAACATTTTCTGTTGTTCCACCTTTTTTTTTTTATACACGCACAATAATTAATACACGTTTTTATAATACACCACAACTATTTCAAAATAGAAAAGAAGAGGTTGAGATATCAGTTGATGGTGTAGTGCGGTCAATGTGCATTGAGTCATCACTGCTGCAGGTTGTAAATAAGATAAACATGTTAAGAGTCTCAGATTTAGGAGATTTATTTTCTTAGCTTCGAAGATACAGGAGACACTAAAGTTGGGGTTTGGGCCAGGAGAGTTGAAGGAACAAGCAGTTGAAAGCTGAAAAAGATTGCTATCGAGACTTTCGCGTTACAAATCGGACTCACAATGAAGATAGATATGAAAGTCGAGCATTCAAATCAAAATCATTTGAGACAAGAGCTTCAAAAATCAAATGCCAAAGGAAGATCTTAGACCAGAGTTTCTATCCATAGAAATGTTTGCATAAATATTTTTCAAATGTGAGAATTTCAAATTGATATTTAAATTTAGATCACATTTTATCATATCATTTATCTTGAAAAATAAGTTGAAAACATTCTTTAAAAACCTACAATATTGTTCAAAACATTAATATCGGATCAAACAAAGCCAATACGGAGAAAACTTTTTTGACCGTTTTGATTTTCGGCACACAACAGTTAGTTTCGTGCACCGGGACACAAAAGTAGATGCTTGATTGCTTGTCCGATTTCACAGATATTTTTGCTCGTTGAACTCTATAAATAATTCATTTTTTGCATTCATTGCAAGATTTTTTAAGAGCATTAAAGTGAGATAATGCTGAGCAAAATTATATTGATCTTAAATCTTATTTATCATCAAATCATTTATTGTGAAAACATTTGATTGATTGAATTAAATTATTGATTCATCTTCATCGTCAAAGTTTTCTAGCATAACACTTGAGCTTTTATTTATCGTTATTCATTGAAGTGTTAGGCACTTTCTCTTTTAGTATTTAATTTGTTTATATCAATTATTAAGAGATAAATTTCAAATTGTGAAATCATTTCCCTTCAAATTTTGGGTCATATTGAGGTCTCATAAAACTCAATATTGTATAAAGATCGATGCTTCTTATTTGTAAGCCACCGAAAGCTTTGTAATGCTTTGGAATGCGTCATAAGTCAATTGAAATTAGTGAAAAGGTCTTACTCATGACGAAAAGTGTGGTAACAAATGACGTAGATCATTGTTTTGAATCAAATCTCCACAATTATATCATTTGTACAATGTATTCCCTTTTATTTATCGCTTTTGTATTTGTGTATAATTACTTGATTGATTTATTCATTCATAATTTATTTAAATTTGGATAAATTTCTCGAAAAAGTTTTGAAAACCAATTCACCCCCTTCTTGATTAGTTATTTTTTGAATGTCAAATATTTTCTTGCTACCAATAGCTAAAATATTAATATAGTATGCGAAATGAAAATTTGCAAAATATGATCATGCAAATTGTACATACACCCTGAATGTAGGGTTTAAATGTAATTTTTCTTTCTAATTTAGTAATTCATTTGAACTATGTTGGAATTTAGTTTAAAGAGATTAAAATTGGTTTAAGTATAAAACCATGAAAAAATGTGAAAAGTGATTTTTTGTGTCAACTTCGACTAAATATTTGGACTTAATTCTGTAGTCAAATTATGGAAATAAATTGACTAACTTCAGTAACTTGTTCTATTTTTCGAATAGAAGATCGTAATATATTTGGAATTTCAAAACTAATTCCAGGTGAATGAGAAATTATGGTCCAAAATTAGAAGAAAATTTTGATTTTCAGTATCTATGACTGTAGCTCAAGCGGCAGCCCAGCTCTGACGAGCAAAAGGGTTTTACTTTTGGCGCTCAAGCAGCACGCCAGAGGCAGAGAGGGGTATGTTACTTCATGAAAGTTGTTGAGTTTTGGGGCATAAGTTTCCATTCACAACCCCTCATCTTGTATAAATTGGACCCATTGGACGTCATTTAGACATCTTAATTCATATTGTTGAGTCTGCCATCAAAAACTCTTGCCAAAACTCTTGCAAACTTTGCATTCAAAATCATTCTTTGAGAGAATAATCCATTCAAGTTCCTTGTTGACTTGTAATTGAAAGTGCTTCTGCTACATGGAAGTAATCTTTTGTATTTTGAGAGACAATTTTTGTTACTCCGTTAGCACTATTGCGAGACAAATTTGTTTTAAGGAAATATTGTTATTACTTGTCTTGGATCATTTCATCCATATTTCTTCTTTTTCTTATTCTTGGTTCTACCATCTTCATTTGTGGTTTATCATTTTGTATTGTTAAACTTGAGCCAAAATATTGTCCATATACGAAACAACCTTTATACCATATCTCCCAACAAGCTCTAGATGAATCTGAATATTCGTTTGAGCTTTTCCCCACTTTTATTACAAATTGAGTCTTAAACTATTTATAATATATTAAATATCACATCAATTAAGAATCATTTTTGGACAATTATAACTATACTACAATTTAATTACTTTAACTATAACTTTTCGTTTTTTAATATTATTTAATTTACAAATTGTAATAAATACTACAAAATCATTATACATGCATGTGTTACATGTTATTAATTAACATTCATATAATTAATATTAATTAGAATTTCACATTCAAGAATACGGTTCATTATTCACTCCCATGTATGTTAATTAGCATACAGTTTCATTTAATTGAAAATTAAATTATATTCATTTAATATAAATGATTTAACATTCATTGTCACATATATATTATTTGGTATTCATTCTAAATTAATTAATATTCACGTTAATTCATGTATCGTATTTGCAATTCATCTTTATTTATGTATTTTGTTGTAATTCTAATGCTCACTTTCAAGTATACATTTCACTATTTACGTGCATATATAATAATTAACATTTATCTTCAAGATCTTACATTTCTTTCATATTTAGATCCAAAAGGTAAATGAAGTGTCAAATATTATTTTCATAACATTTATAAAGCATTTCAGAATAATGTGCAACACGCATTTAACTTTGACTAATTATTTTAAACGTAACTTCACTAAGATGAATAATCTAAAATATTAAAATTTGATTAATATTTCATATTTAAATGACATAATTTAGCCTTCTCTGGTCTTGATAAAATCATCTTAGTATCAGAATATGATTTTTTGAAATTATATTTACCCTTTTCATTGACCAAAAAAATGAATTTCAGAAGTGGGATGAGACTCGCCAATTTAGGTTACTAATTACACAAACTTGTGTAAATTACTGGGGGCGATTCATGTTGCACTCTCAAAATCAATTTTCCATTGTGTACAGTCCAAAAAACAGTAATGACTGTTTGGGTCCCAATTTTTTTTTTAAATACATTTTGAAATAGTAGATTGATCCAAAATATGTGGTTAAAAAATAAGAATTTTTTTTTTAAAAAATTTGTGTGTAATATTATTTTATTGAAAAATGTGTGGTTGAAAATAAGAGAGAGAAAAATTGGGTTAATTTCACAAACGGTCACTAAAGTTACGTCAAAATCACAAAACGGTCACCAAAGTTTAAAACTTGCACAAACGGTCACTGAAGTATCATTTGGTTGCACAAACGGTCACTGAAGGACCTTTTCATTTTAATTGAAACTTAAAGGACCAAAATAGTTGACAATTGAAACTTGAAGGCCTAAATCACAAATTTTACAATAAAACCCCCCAATCCCTATTTCTTACTGGCTTATACACGACCTGAGGAGATGGAAACTATTTTGGGAGG